ACATCATTACACCGATGCTGCGGCCCCCCCCCCCCCCTCCTCCAATTAACACGATTTTCCACTGTACAGATCCCCGACAATTAGTTCAATTATTTTTCACGACTAGCTCGTTACCCGTTCGTTCCTTTTTTTTCTTTCTCTCGCCCCACGAAACAAAATCTTTCCCTCGAAACTAATTAAATCGATTCCAGACTACTGTCGCGGTTTCGCTCGTTTCGATTCGCGTGGGCGAGTAGCCCAAATGGCGAAATCGCTTTTCTTCCGTACATTGTTGCATTCTAAAATCAATACAGAGCTACCCGAAATGCAACACGTTAATCGCTAATTACACCGACCGAATTAGTTAAATCGATATTATCGCACTGTCATCATCGTTGAACTGTGAAAACTGTCGTAAACGCGAATGAATGTTAAATTGATCATTTGGCAATAATAATTCGATATGCTGCGTAAGAATATATAGTTTTCTATTTTATTTTTAGATACGCCGTGTATAATAATTTTTCTATTTTATTGTTCGATGTGCTGTGTATTGTGTATTAGCTAGTTTTCTATTCTGTTATTCGATATGCTGTGTACAGTATTAATTAATATTCTATTCTTTTTAATTCGATATACCAATATTAGTTTTCTATTTTATAATTCGTTATGTTGCGTGTAATACGAGTTAGGCTTTTATGTTTACTACTGTGTGTGCACTATTAGTTAATGTTCTGTTTTGTAATTTGAAGTGCTGCATATCTATACCTTCAATTAGTTTTCTATTCATAGACTGTGCGCGCTATCAGTTAGTTTTCACATACAATACCGCGTCTATTATTAGCCGGTTTTCTATATATCCGTAATAGCTTGTGTGCAATTAGTTCTCTATTTTCCGATTTGGAATATCGCGCCGACAGCGAGAACTAGGAAAATCGTAGAAAACAGCGAAGGCCCCGACAATATTTCCGGCGAGAAAAATGGAACGATGGCGGATTGAAAAGCGGTCGAGCAGAGTGCGGGTTTTATTTTTGGTAGCCGATCGAACCGGCGAGTGGCAACAGCCGATCGATCCGGCATTCGAACGCCGTAGATACACACTGAATTTCGAGTATTCACGCTCCGAATCGCATTTTCTAAGCATTCGACTGCCGCGGGCCAAATGATTTTTAGAACGCGCTGACACGCAGAATCGCCTGGAACGATATCGGTCCTGGCAGCCGATAGCCGAAACATTATCAGAGAATATTCAAGGGAGCAAAACTCGAGTTCATTGAAAAGCATCGAACAGAAATGGAATGTTCTGTGAAAAATCAATCGATCTCCCGCGTTTCAATTAACGAAAAACGAATGAATATGAAACGAGTGTATCCAAGAGAGATCCGTATCGGATGATGCGATTGTAAATTCTTACAAGCGAAATAGCCGTTAAAACGGACCTTTGACAGGAAACGTCGAACGCGTTCTAATAAATTTTGTTTTCCCGCGCAAGAGCAAATTTTATCTCTCCGCTATTTTTTTCAAAGCACCGGAGGGAGGTTCGTCCGGTTTTCAGGCTCTGTGCGTTCGAGCAGCTTGTATAATCGGATTAATACATCGATCGACGACAAGTCCGGCCAGGCTATCGTTGTTATTGAATTTCTATCGAAGTGGACGCGAAATGGTTCGCGCGGAGATGGTTTGTTTATTAATCGAGCGATACGGAAGCTCCGGCCGACCGCCATGACAGTCGGTTTTTTAATCGAATAACGAAAGTTCGATCCGCGGCGGATCCACCGCCCGGCTCTCCTCGTAACGTTGATTGCGATAGAACTTCTGGAAATGGAAACTGCGCTGCTAATTGAATTTCTAATGAATTCTTAATTACGCTGGAACGGAGGCATTAGTCACAGTAATATTATTCCAGCGTAGCGACGATAGAAGTAATGGCAAAAGTATTCATGGCTCCGGTAATAAAGTGGAACAATTAACGTGGAAACTATTAGAGAATCGTTGGGATTGATTGCACCGATTTGGCCGAGCACCGAAGACAATGTTCGCGATCTCGCTAAGTCTCCGATTTTCTCGATTTAGAATTTTCTGAATTATTTTTGTGAGAAGTTATAGTAGCAGAGTGATGAGAACATAAACAAATTCAGAGCATCCGCCGACAAACCAAAGTCATCTTCAAGTATCGATTGGCTGGCTGGCAGCCCACACACGAAGAAACTTTAGCCGCGGTTTAAAAATGTCAGTCTCGTTTAAAAAAATATTCGCACGCGCGTTCTAATCTTAGAATCGTCGGGGATCGTGTCGGGTCGGCCACAGATCGCTGGGAATTCTTTGCTCGGCCAGTATCTTGTTTAAAGAGAAGGTCAGCTGCACCGTGGCAGTGTGTTCTTCTGCGGCTTTAAGCGGGAGCAATTTTTCATCGGCATAGCCGTAGAACGTTTCTGCAAATGTGTTCGGCATTGATTATCTAAATATAGAAACAGCCACTAGAACATACAGCACTGTGTGTTTTACAATTGATTGCCACCGGTACATGTGTGTTCGCAATTAAGTCTCGCGATTTCACGGTTCGAAAAATGCGTTAGTATCCCTGTCTCGCTGCGATAAACCTACGATAACCTGCAGTCATATTATAATCCCAGTTACAAGACCGTCTGTCGAAGCTCCAAAAAGTTGTCTGCAAATTGTTCTAATCAAATCGTTTACCAATTGTCCAAGCAAAATCAGAAAGGTTTAGAAATTCTTCGAATAAGATTGTGTACAAATTGTTCCAATAAAGTCGCTTGCAGGTTGTTCGAATGAAGTCGCTTACAAATTGTTCAACTAATATCGTTCAAATAAAATCGTTTAAAAATTGGTCAGATAAAATCGTAAACCACTGCAGAAAGCGACTTCAATGATCCAAGAGTAAACGGATGATGAAAACATCGTAACGATTACGAAATATTGACGAAGCTTCTCGGGAATGTTGTAGGAGGAACAAGTCACAATTCCGGCGAGATTTGGGCCAGAAAAAGGGAGCGCAGCTGATCAACGAGGAAACATGTTCCGCAGATCCGTCGATTGTTGCAGAACTGATGTGGCCCGGACCACGATCTATCGGCGTTCGACGAAATTTCGTGAAACAAGGCCACGCCGAGGCCCCGGAATTCAATGACCGGAATTTCGCCGTCCGGAAGAAATCGGGCTCGGTGGTCCGCTTTAAGCTCTGCTGCACTTTATTGGAAATTCTGTCGTGTGTCGCGGACTGGCCGTGCAGGAGGATCGATTGCTGACAAAGGCCTAGGAAATTGCGTCTTAAAATCCACCTTGCGGGCTTCGATTCATTTGGCGAGCCGATGGCTGCCGATCCGCCACGAAAAATGCCCAAACAGCCACCCACAACCCTGGTCGAACCTCGGCTCGACACCGTGAAAAGCAATCGGATTGTAAAATTTCCTATCTCCCGAAACAGATTCGAAAAACTCGCGACCCCTGTATTCGGTGCTGTTGTTGGACCGATCTCATTACGAAATTGTGACCTCTCCGACGCTCTCGAGATCCTTTCGTCGACGGAATCAGGCTCGAAGACCTTTAGACCCACAATCCGAGACCACTGATCCACCGAGGCAGCTCGAATCTCGGCCAAAAAACCTCCCTTCCCGCTGACACAGATTCGACAGTGTCGAAAGTGGCTGGCCGTTCGGCAGCAAAGTGGTTGCTATCGGATGAAAATCGACGGGATCCGATTGTTCCCTGATCGTAAACGAATGTCCCCGAGCGGCCGTAGCAGGTGGACAACGGGATTAGCTAGCGAATTAGGGAATCCGGCGGATCCATGATCGCGGGTCTATCATCGGGCCAGCGGTATTTCCCGAAGCTGCTGATCCGAATAATCACTGTGAATGGACACGATCGGTTGGTTGTCTGACGACGATGTTGTACTCACATGTTGTTCGTCGCTCGCTTCTGCTTTCCTCGGCTAGAGCTATCCGCTGGTCTGGCAACCCCGTCGGATGACCGCGTACTTTTCACGAGTGACTGTCAGCGACTAGACGGCCGCGGTATTGATAAAATTTCCAGCGGCACCGCCGCGATATCGCCGTCGCGAGCTGCGATACCTCGATCGACCACGCACCTTCGAATCTCGCTCGAAAACTTCCCCTAATTCCCTCGGTCCCCGGACCCTTCGTTTCCGGCTCGCGTCGAACAACCGAGAACGCCTCGACTATACTCGCACGCCGGAAAGAAGCAAATTCGCCGGCGATTTTTCGGAATGAAAAATTTTCTTGAACCCTCGGAGAACCGCCAGTCGATGTATCGAAGGTCGATGAACGGTTTTTGAGACGGGCGATGCGCATGCACCGGCCTCCCAGTCAATAAATGCAAGCCAGCCGCAACCCTCATGCGCAAACACACCCTGAAACCAGGGCCCAGGGCTGGCACCAAACTTTCACGGCCCTGGGCACGGGTTTGCGAATATAGGCCAACGACCGGGTGTTGTTGGCCAATTCTCCGCGAGTTTGCGAGTTCGACTAGGTTCGAGTAATATTCTAATTAGGCTAGAAACAATTTTTTGTTAAGGGTTGAACGTTGATCGGAGCTGTCGAAGCGGTTAGAGACGAGACAGTGGTTTTCGGGTTTGTTTTCGCGGGGGCTGATCTTAGGGGATGCTCGCACGGCCCTGGGGATGCGATGGGAGTGCGCGCACGAGCATCCGCAGAATATTTTATTTATGTTCTTTGCGATTTTTGCCGTGAGCCAGGCCGACGTTGAACTCCGCTCCGCGAAAATGTCTGCGTCCTCGAGAAAGATGGGAACCATGGCTCCTCCTGAGGGTGAGTTCTCCATTTTAAAGCTGGAAATTGTGGCTTTGAGCTTGACGAATTTTCTCAGGGTGTTTCGCAATCGTTCTAGGGGAGGTTTTGGCATTTTTGGTATTCGAAATCGTTTTGCAAAGAGTCAGACAATCGACTTAGTTACTTATTTTACTTTCCGTTGTTTAAATTCAAGAGATTCGTCCGTGTTCATGAAGCATTTTTATTTTATGGGGAGGAATTGATTCGGAAAATATGTCTTTTCAATTTTGCTCGAGATTTAATTACGGAAATCATTTTTCTCTTAATTCCGATACTCTAGAATTCTCTGAAAACTGTAACTTCAAATAAAACTACCCCTTCTGTTAGTTTTCTCATTGTTTCTTCATTCTAATAGTTGGAAATTGATACTATTTCGTAAATGTTCGAAACCTACGTATTTGATTTACTAAACTTCGAAATTATAATACAAATAACTAATTCTGAAATACTGTGTTCGAGTATTTGCTGCTCAAATCAATGCTTCCTATATAATATTCCGGCAAGAATCACTTAAGCTCCGACATGTTCGAGAAATTCATGCAGCTTTGACCAAGCATTTTAACGAACGTAACGACAGAAATTATTCCAACACATTTTATATGTCTGACATTCTTGGAAGAGCGAAATTTCTAGCAATAAATTAATTACTCAATTAGATTGTGTGTCGGTAAAATCGTGGAGAACGAAAGATTAAGTTGCGCGCCGTCTCCTTCAGATGACAGCACCGTGTCAATTTAAGCTTCGAAGGTGCGGTTGATTTTTGAAAAGACGGTGAGTCACAATAGATATGGAAAAAGAAAGGTATTACAGTGTTATCTTTCCTATCAGAGATTAGATTAAAAGAAATAACATCTTTTTTGTAGTATATTCGGAGAATATATTATTGAAATAAACGTGACGTCACTGATCAACGCCATTTTTATCATATGTCATTTACTGTTGTCGTGAAAGTGTGTTCGTCATCGATACAGAGTTTGGAATACTTGTCATTATTTATAAATAAATTAGATACTTGTCTGCGTTCTCCACGGATCTCTTATTTTCAAGTGAGTACGTTCACCTTGTTCGTTGCGTTTAAAAAATGGACAGGTATATACGCGTGAATCCGATGAAAGCTGTTTCAGCTTCGCGGCAACTGAAAATATGTATTCCAATGTCCCGTGTTTGCTTAATAACAATGACATTCTCCAATTAAACTCACTTCTGTCGATTGCAATCAAATAATGTCATGATGACAAGCATATGTCTCGTGACACCGATTCCATACTTTATACTTCCCCGCGAGCTTTGAGGTTATGGGTGTGTACGGCAATTAGCCGTAAAATCAAATTTCATAAATTCTATCGTTCGCTAAATAAATCTTTAGTTGGAACCAGTTTTTGTAGACTCGACTATAGAAATAATCATATTAATAACAATTTCTACGGTATAGTAAATGCTGTGCAAAAATAATTCCTTATAAGATTGCACTTTGGATATCTGTATTGCATTTAAGACCTCTTTTTGCTGGCAATAAGTCACTGCAAAAAACAACATAGGTGCAGCACTTGCTTCTGTGAATCGACTGTAAAGAATTACTCGATCAAAACTTATATCAAACTATATAATTAGTTTTAATAATGGATTTATCTAATTTGAGTGGTTTTTATAATTACAGAGACATGGAAGGTAGCGGCAATTCACGAGAAGATGTGGGTGGGCCTAGAAACCCACAGCAAGCAGCTGCATCTAAAAAGATGCAACAGACTCAGGCAACAGTCGATGAGGTCGTGGGGATAATGAAAGTAAACGTCGAGAAAGTACTGGAGAGAGATCAGAAGCTCTCTGAGCTGGAGAACCGTGCCGATGCTTTGCAACAAGGAGCAACACAGTTCGAACAGCAGGCAGGCAAACTGAAAAGGAAATACTGGTGGAAAAATCTCAAAATGATGATCATCATAGGGATTATCTGCGTGATCATTCTAATCATCATCATTGGTACGTGTTTGAACAATGAAAAGATATATAATTTTGCAGGTCAACTGGATTTTTATATTGTTTAATCTACAATTGGCCTTAATTTGCTATAGCCTCTCTTGTGCCCAGCTCGTCATCGGAGCCCGAAAAACACTGATAGCATTATGTCAATGGAAATCTAATACTTGGCTTGTTAATTTTTGTCTTAGAGCGACAATTCATTCTGATGATGTAAGTTACGGGCAAAAGAATTTTTTAATATATTACAATCTGCAGTCTTGTTCAAAGAAATTGCTGCATTAGCAACAAGTACATATCTACATCTTTGTATACATATACATATATATTTTTGAGACTTAAACTTATTCAAACGCACATTTCAACTAACTGCAGTATTAATACGGGTGGTCTTTCTCCATTTTTCTCTTTTATTTTTCGTAAAACTATAAACAGACAATACATTTCCTAATGTTATCTTGTTAAAATGCTTATTGTACATTTATTAATGATATATAATATATAATATAACGTTTATACTTTTTCCCAAAAACTTTTGAGTCATTCAGGCTCCTATTTAGCCTTGCTCCTTGTCCAGATTTCATTTTCCAATAATTTATTCATTTCTTTTCCACGAAAATCATTTTCTTTAGGTGATATTATAGAATACGTTAATTAGAGTTAAGGCTTTATTATTAGAACCATGTGTGCACTTTAATTTAATACGATACTATTGTTTCCAAATAAAAATTAAAAAGAATTGTCTTTTTTTATCATTTCTTTCTTCTAATACTGCACGTCTACAAGTCTCGGTATAACAAATTCTCTTTCTTTTTTTTTTTAATGAATTTATTATTTTTTCGAATGGACAAACATTTCTATTTTGTTTAAACGAATAGCAACGCGATCTTTCTTTCGGAAGACTATTTTCTTTGCAACATTGCTGTTAGATGTAATTATAAATTGATGTGTTCTTTAACCATTTGAGTCGCAAGGGTCATTGAAAAACATGGTCGATATAGCACTTGTTTTAATATGCGTACTATTAGTGTATAAATATTTAAAGTTTTGTTCAATAAAAATTATTGAGAAGATAACAATGAAATACAAAATGTGTTAGTTGTATTTACATTTAAAAAAAAACTAACTATGCGATGTACGTGCATCAGTAATGTCGAGCGCGCTACTTCGATAGTCAGTTATCCGTTCAAATGACCTGAGACTTTTCGACACAAAATCTATACAAAAAATCGATTCCACTGCTTGGGACTCGAACGATTAATTATTGAAATCATCGCACGAGATGATTCACTGATCGATGTCAAAAGACAGTTCCTAGAAAGAATAAGGAAAAACCGAAGTAGCACAAAATATTAGTAAAGTCGTCGTTTCTAATATATTAAGAATAAACCTGTCATGTGATACTAATTCTCAAGAACAATGATGTTTCATTAGTAGCAGACAAATAGGCTCTCAATTTTGACAAAAGAAAACAATAAGGCTTCTGTTTCGTTTCAAAGTCCACGTGATGCTTTGCTTAGAATCTTAGCTCTCATAAATATTCGTGCTCTGCGTCTCAACACCGGTCTCCGAACGTTTTTTTCTTCTTTCTAACAAAACCAAATCACGAGTCGCGATAACTTCAATGATGCTCATTCTCCAAATAGAATAGCTCAAAACAGGTTCCATGAAAGTTGGGATTCCCTATGAAGGACACGGTAAGATGTATGTGAAAGGGTACTTAATTAGAGGAAAAAGATTGTGTAACGTAAGAACGCAAGAGAGAGAGAGAGAGAGAGAGAGAGAGGAAGAAAGAATGTGCTACCAAGAATAAGCGAAGCAGGAAAAAGGTATACCCGAATAAAAAGAACACATCCTGTTCCAAAAGACACCTATTCTACTTTTCCAAACAATACCACTTTGTCAGCAATAGTAAACCGAAAACAATGAACGGTCCTATTCACGATCCGAATAAATCCACGCTTTTGTCTCTATGGGAAAATGTCCTCGTCCGATTCCACGACCAAGATCTCTTCGAGATGTCCTTACAACGAAAACTGATGATTATTATAAACAATAATTAATTGCAGGAAAATTCTTCGTTAACCCTTTGCACTAATAAATTTCTAGAAATTTATATCTATTGAAATGGTTTTCTATTTATGATAGGAGAGTGCGATTTTATCTCGGCTCAAAGGAAGCGCATCTATATTTAGTAGATTATGGTCGAAATCTTCATAACGTGTCCGACACGTTGCTATACTGCAAGGGGTTAAAAGAGGGACATAGATTAGGTAGAGTAATAATGGCTGCGCGTTCGCATCGATCGAGCCAGGACGGGCAATTTGTTCGCGATCCAAGTTCGAAGCCTCGTGTGCCCGACCCGAAATGTCACGAGCGATACGAAATTAGTGCGTGGTCGAGGGCCAATTAGCTGATCGAGCGTTCTCTTCCCCGAGAATGGTACCCTCGGAAACATGGCGCACGGAAACGATCGAGGAACCGAACAACGGCCAAGATCTTGGTTCTCAGGATCAAGGAACCATCGAGTAGATCTCCAAAACGATCTCAACGTTGCTTGGCAGAGGAATATTAACGGAAGTCGTTCCTCAATGATAAAAGAAACCGCAAATTTCCCGCCTCGATCAGCCATTTTCATTTAACGCTTATCACGCAGATTTACGACGGCTCTACGATCCGTGGAAATATTTGGCGAATCTCGAGGGAATCGAATTATGCAATTCCTGTTTTTACTTTCTGGCCTGGTTGCTTTTGGAGTCGGTTCGGTTTCTGGGAATCGGGATTTTTATGGTTTACAGGTTCAAAGGGTCGAAATGTCTTGTTACTATATTTTATATTTACACTCAAAGATTTAGGATCTACTAGATAACTAACATTATATACATATTTTATATACTGGTATAATAATTGTCATAAAAACGACTAGTTTACCAGGCACATGATAGATCTGATATAAGAAGTGCAAATGGATGTGTTAATCTAATTTTAGGCAAAACGATCCACTGTATGTTATGATTAGCTGGTGTATGAAATCAGAAACACCTGGAAAATCCAACTTTTACTACGAAATGAAGATGAAATACAATATTGGCACCATTTACGATCCCGGCGTATCAGTTAAGTGTTAATAACGCAGATCATTTCGATGAAATTTCGAAATTAAAAAATACACTCGAAATGAAAAATGTATTGTTTTAATTTTCGTTATATGCTTCGATAAAACGTGATTCTTCGTCGTTTCCATCTGATGCTATTTTTGCGAAAACTTTTACACATCGTCTAGCATGCTAGTCCTTCTAACATCGCCAAACAATTCAACCCGTTTGGTCTAATTTTATAATAATTATCCCGTTTTAAAAGGTGTCCATACATATCTGTCCACGGCTTTCTTCTACAGAAAGATTGATATTTCTTGATTTCAAGTAACATAAACTTTCTGTACTCGCCTGAAAGGGTTGAGTTATTTTCGCGAATCATTGCAGATCCACCCCACAGATCATCGCCAACCGTAACGGTCTTTCCGCGATAGTCTTCGCGTTTAGTGCGTCTCGAAGCAGGTGTATCGAAAACGAAGCGGCCGGTCGGCCAGTCACGTGGCCGAGTAGATTTCCGATTTTCCTGTAAACCGAGGCAGAAATCTCAGCCGCTTCATTCATGCACCTATCAGTCGGCTGACGACCGTCCGACCGGACAGTCGCTCGTCTCGAGGCGCGTCTCGGTGTCAACGATACTGACAGGAATAATATATCTCAGGTCAGACGACCCACGAGAGATCCTTTCTTTCTCTCTCTCTCTCTTTTTTTCTCTTTCTTTTTCTTATTCTCGATTTTCTTTGTCGCCGTCGTCGTCGCTGTCGTCGTCATCGTCATCGTCGACGTTCGTCATCGTTGTTGACCGTTTACTTTTCCACGAGGTAATTTCGTGGTCATCACGTTTAGAATCGGCGCACAGTGAATCCGCGATAACGAGTGAAAGTCCGAATCATCGAACGAGAACCGATCGCGATCGCGTGCCGGACGACTTCGTGGCCGAGGCATTAATCGCGCGAACTTCGACCCCTTTCGATCCTCCGACCCCATCCAACATTTTTCTCCTAGAATTCGTGATCGGACCGTTTATGCAAAAGTCGGTGACTAATCGACGACAGTGACCGGTAAAATGGTAAAAATCAACGGTAGATCAAAATTGTTAGGCTAGAATTATTCGATCGAAATGATTAGACCTTTGCAAGACCAAAACTGTCGGATCAAAATTGGAGCAAAATTGTTAGATCAAAATTCGTAGAACAAGTTTGTTAGGCCAAAATTGTCTTATAAAAATTGTTAGATCAAATTTGTTAGACGAAAATCGTTAAAGAAAACTGTTCGACCAAAATTGTCTGATAAAAATTGTTAGACCAAGTTTGTTGGACCATAATTGTCGTAGCAAATCTTTTAGACCAAAATTATCGGATCAAAATCCATGTTGGACCACAAGTAATCGTTGTTCCAAGCTAATCGAAGATTTTAAGAGCGACCTTCTGCCAGCTTGACAGTAAAGTTTCTTGTTTTCTTGCAAAAGTTTTCCGTTCGTCATAATAAAAATTCGTCATAACGATCGAAGGAAACGATTTATGTACCTCGGAAATATGTTCTCGGCCGCAGGAAAATAATGTCGGTTACTCTAGACCGTGAAATTGACATTTTGAAATACAATGTCGGCCGAGCATTGGCAATTCTCGATCGAACTTACGTTACGCCAAAGCACGTCGACCGTCGTAAACAGAAACTGTCGAAACCACAAAAATAGCACTTCGCGAACACAATAGAAAAAGCAGCTTAAAATTCATTCGCACGAAACCAAATTCGATTGCGCGGAGTCGATAAAAAGGAGACCAAATCGCGAGGAAAACCACTGGCTCAAGCGCAATTAACAATTAGAAATCGCTGTTGTAAACACAATTCTGTGCCAACCCACCGAAGAGCTAACACCAAATTCGATCATTCTTTATCTTTCGATGAAAAAACGTAATAACGACGGTGTCGGTATATCGTATCCCAGAGATTGCAAATGAATAATTCGATTATTCATACATTATTCATTTTTCCATAATTCATCAAGTCTTTTGTGCATAATCCACTATTTTCTCTGGGGGAAAATACTCTCACCGCACTGGAATCTAGCTTATTCGACCCATCGAAACGCGAATATGTTATCGTCCAAACAGATTATACGTGCGAATACTGTAATCTGATGCAATTTGTATGCAAGGCTATTGTAAAAATCGGCAAGGGCGTAATCTAGCCGCGTGAATAAAACATTCCAGTATCCGAACATTCATACGAAATCCTTTGTTTGCAGAGAATTGAATTATTGTCGCGAACGAAGTCGATGATAAGAGAGGTCCATTGTTCGAGAAATCGCGAACTGCTGTCGCAAATGAAGTTAACGACGAGAAAACCGCTGCCGAAAATCGAAAAATTCCGAGCTACCGTATCGAAGTCAACGATAATAGAACCGGTGACGATAGCAGACCCGAAAAATTTCGAACGCCAAAAACCGCGAACCACCGTCGCGAAGTCAACAATCGCGCGAAGGGTCCAAGTTCCCTCGTTTCATGGAGTCATCACCGTCCGACCGTTTCATAGGTCCCCTTTCACGGTCCCCTAATTCGTAAAGTTTCTTCGAAAATGAGCCGCGCGACCGATGATCGCGCGTCGGGGGCCAATTTTCGAGTAGGTGGTCGGTGGTGGGGGTTTGTTTTCCTTGCCGTTTGCGCGTTCGACAGCCGGTGAACGCGCTGCCGTCAGTTCGTCTCCGGAACCGGCGAAGCAGTCTTCGCCGAGGACTTTGAGTCTCTCTCCTCTCTTTTTCTCTCTCTTTCTTTCCGCGGACCGAAATGCCCGGGATCGGCGCCGCGTTATCGTGATCTCGTGGAAGCCGACCGGCCGATCGGTCGAAGTTCGGCGATCCGTGGAGAACTTGAAATTCCGCTTTTCCTTTCAGTGTCGCGGTCGCGTTTCGGGTTTTGTTGTGCGCGACGACGACGGCGGCGTCAGTGCGATCGAACGAGGGCGAGAGAGAGAGAGAGAGAGCCAACGTGCTTCTTATCTGGACTCGATGAATTATTGAGAAACGCTCTTCCATTTCGCTCGCTGGTTTCCGTTTTGCCGCGCGCGCGTGCCGCAGGATCGTGAGGCCGACGGGGGAATAAATGCGGCCCAACCGGAAGTCGAGTCGGGGCGGAAGAGGAAGAAGAGGCGGAAAGTGTGCTTTGACCAGAGATCAATAGAAGCTAGGATCGTCCTGTCCTCGATCCTCGTCCTCTTTCTCCCTCTGATTTGTGTGCGTGTGCGGCGCTTTTCCGGAGAGGTCTGTGTCAGCTGTTCTTCGATCGCCGAGATTTCCGTGCGAAATGGCGACGTCCAGCAGCGAGGATAGCCAGGACTACGGTCTGGGGTATCAGAACACTCTGGTGAGTACTTAGTTGTATCGCGTTGCTTCGACGAATTTTGTTCGGTGACGCGAATTTTTCTACTCTGCGACACGAATTCGATGGTCGTTTAACGTCGCAGCACAAAAATTCGCAGTTCGCTTAGCGAGAGAAGAAAGTGTTCGCGCAATGAATTCCGCATCGAATTTGATTTCGATCGTTATTGTAAGTCGCCGCGGCTGTAAAATGAGCGACTGCTCTAGTGAAATTGATTTCCATTGTAACGATCCATTTCTTCCGCGACTCGGTAAATTGAATACCTTCGGCGAATGTAATTCCGAACTTCGCGTTCGAACCGGACAATTGCGCGAGTACTTTGTTCTTTCGTTGCGTGCACGGTCCGACCGGCGAGCGCCGATAACGTCGGCATAATTCGGTGCATTAATCTATCACCAAACGATAATATTTATTAAGTCCGAAATATTCATAAGCTACGCTTGTCCTTGCGAGGCGACGTGGTTATCGTTCATGGGGTCGAGAGCGAATGGTTTTTGTTTGTATCGAGAGGACATGGTGTAGAGAAACTTTGTTTATACCTTGCCAGGAAATTGCTTTTACCGAAAATAAAATGTTCTTTGCAATTCACTCCAAGGTACGATTAATTAAGGAAACACGTGCGATTAATCGAGCTGATCCTAATTGGGTTTGCAATAGTTCTCGGGTGTTTGTAGGTATTGTACATGGTTTGAAGCAACCAACTGAGATTACTGAATCGACAATTTTTCAGCAATTTAATTCATCGCAGCTTCTTGTACTATTTATCGACTATCAGCAAATTCGTTATTGTTGCAAACGCGGGCAAACTCTGTCTGCCTAATTGCCACACCTCAAACTAGATCTGTCTTAATAATAATATTAACATTTTGCGGACGAATAACGTCGTATTGACAACGTCAGGATTGCACATCTTATTGCAGAAGTTGCATGTACATATTTTGATCATGGACATAACAAAAGGATATCAGGATATGCAGTGAATAACTGTAGACTAAGAGTAACTTTTGCATTTTTAGTGATATTTAAATGATATTTCTATATTGGAAATAATGCAAAATAGAAATATATAAAGTACAGTTTTCTTCTGATTTTGTTTAAGTATCAGATAAAATGTAAAAGTCACACTTTGAGCCTATAACTATGCACAACCACTATATCGTTCATTCATACCGTTACTTTGATTCATAGTCTACTTTCTCGAGGGTTAAACGTACTTCCGCGAATCTCTTCGCCAGGAATGCTCGATCGATCGTCCGCTAAATCGCGCATCGTTTATTCCTCCGTCGCATAATCGCGTCAACCCGGCGAGGCCGGAGCGGATGCGAGCGGTTCCGAGCGCGGCAAGGGTTGCAAACCTATTTTCATGTTTATTCTTGGCCGCGGCGCGCTGCTAGCCGCGAATAGTTCGGTTCGTGCCGCGATTTATGCGTCTGTCGTGAGTACAAACATCGAGAAAGCCGGGAGACCACGTGCTCGCGCGAATCCGTCGCGAATCTCGCGCGTGTTACCGCTTTCGCCGCGTCGCGCGCGCGTTTTTCGCGCGGGCCTCGTGCTGGCGGCAGGAGATCGCGAGGCATTCAGCCGCGGATCGTCAGCTGATCGACGGCGATGCGATGGGCACACACGATGATCGACCTTTGCGAATTTATCGGATTACAACCAGCCGACGCGACGCGTGTTTGTCTACGGATCCATCCGACACGCTATGAATCACTCACGCAATACTCCAAACAGTCTCCTACGCGCTCGTCGTAACCTCCTGCGTCCTGTGGCTGAACCAAATTAACCCAGGACCTTGACGAATCTCTTCTCGAACCCTCGGCTACTTCCAGTGCTAATTAAACGGACTTGAATACGATCCAGAAACCGTTCCGTGATCTGTGTACTCGATTCGCCAGGAACTTGACGAACGTCTTCCCAATCATCATTTATTTCCTGTGCTAATCGGAGGGACTTTGGAACAGTGCAACAAAAAATTCTACACCTTCCACTTGATTTACCAAAAAATTGATGAATCTTTTATCAAACCACATCTACTTCAAGTAGTAATTAGACAGACTTTAGAACGGCATTCGAGAACGCTCTACGCTTTAGACTCTGATCTGTTGCTTCCCAATGATAATGAGATTTTTATGCCCTCCTTTAAACACTCGCTTGCTTCCTTCGCCGATTTGCCAGACGACGACGCTTGTATTCATTCGCTAATTCGTCGCGTTAGGACTGTAACCACGCAAACGCGCGAAAACGTGCGGTTTTTCAGATACACGCAAATGGTTTCCAACGGATCTAATCAAGTTCGGTTATCTCTTATCAGAAATCCGTGTGTTTGCCTTTGTTGAATCTAACACTTAGAAATTCGGCGAACGATTACATCTTCCTATTTGCGTGTGTAGCCATAAGTACTGTGCTTTATTCTTCGCAACGATTCGTTTCAAACTCGCAAGAATGGTAAATTAAAGTTCACAGGATCGACGAAATATATATCATGCGTCTCGTCTCGCGTCAATAAATTGCTTAGTGAGCCGTCGAGCTTCGTGAAACCGAAGCTCGATAATTCGGAAAAGTAATAAAATGATCGCGAATGATTGCTGAAGGTTTCCGAAAACTGTCACGAGACAGAGATGACAGTTTGAGCAAATGTTTGCGCGATGAGCACCCGCGTTTGGCGCGGTTTGCAGCGACGATGATCGGTGTTGAAATCGTAGCTCGACAGTCTCGCCGGAATATTGTTCCCCGATGACTAACAATACGCTCGTTTAAGCCACCCTCGACGCGGTTTTGCAACTGCTGAATTATTTTCGCGTCTGCCAAGTTGCCGGAGATTTGCAGACAGCATTATATGCATATGTATGTAACGAACGCGAAGACAATGCGTCCTCGAGTAGACGGTAGTGCCACTTTCGAAACGGCTTCCACAGATATTTTCAGGGCAAGCTGCCATTTTTCGGCTCCGTTGTTTCGTCTTGTTGCTCGCGGACGAACAGACGCCTTGATAAATAATAATAACTTCTGCGAACATTCAAAACTAGCAGCTCCGATCTGTTTCGTAATTCTCTAAATTCTCTTTGTCGTTGACTCCACAATTTCTGTACTCGCTGGAACTAAATCAATTCTTCGTTTCACAATTTAACCAAACATCGTTGTACCTGCTGGAACCATTCGTTTGCTATACTTTTTGCGATTTCTTTAATTCTTAATCGTTAATTCTTTTCTTTCTTTTGGCTCTGAGTTTTCAGGATTTTCTAAGTTCTGTCGAAATTGTTAGAACTGTCCTTTCGCTATAGCTTCTACAATTTCTTCAATTCGCTAAAAATATTAAAATTCCTACATAGTTCTCAGTTTTCGTTTTCTTCGCTCAGCTTTTTTTCACAATTTACTGAGTTTCGTTAAACCTGCTAAAGTTATTCGTTAACTCTTTTGCGTATTCTAAATTTCTAAACTCACTTGTAGTTTTTCTTTATCTCCGCGACCGCCGCAATAGCGACTACGAAAAGGAGTCTATAAATCACGTTCGCCGACCCTGAACGCGATTGGAATGCCACGATTCCGTTAGCTGGAAGTGACAGTAATTCATCGGTGCACGCGTTCCCACGTGCAGCTTCTTTAACCGGGTGAGAAGGTTTTCCCGCGTTTTACAGTTCATTCATCCCCGGTTGTAGTACGCATCTCGTACTACGGCCTATTGACGAGCCGCCGCCGCAGCCGACGCATTATCAATGGGGCTACCTTTGCGCCGAGTTCCCCATGCATTGTACGCGAAACTTGAATCGCCTGCTGATGCACTCGGTTCCACACTGTTGCAACAACTCTTGCCAGCCTTTCCCACAGTCAATGGAATCCGTGAACCAGCAATTTCATTCTCATTCCGTTCCGTCGAAAATCCATCATGAACGCATTCCTATACCTTGGTGCAAGTTGATTTTCCATGCGATTATAAACTACTTTGTATTCTATGTTCGAATCACGAGTCAGAAATAAAAATGTTGCATCAGGGATATAGGAAAACATTTCTGTGAATTTTCGAGTCACGAGTCGAATGAAATTGCGAATAACGAGTGAATTGAATTTTCGAATGACGAGTGAATTGAATTTTCGAATAACGAGTGAATTGAACTTTCGAATAACGAGTGAATTGAACTTTCGAATAACGAGTGAATTGAACTTTCGAATAACGAGTGAATTGAATCTTCGAATAACGAGTGAATTGGACTTTCGAATAACGAGTGAATTGAATCTTCGAATGACGAGTGAATTGAATCTTCGAATGACGAGTTACAGATAAAAGCATGACAATCAGAAGCGAAGCAAGGAATTTCTGTTATGAATGAATCGATTCTCTGTGCTGCGCATAAATGCATAGCAATTGTTTTCTTACGAGTCCCACGTATTGTAGACCTTTTTGTTATAATTTGTTAATCTGATCCTGGAATGCGGTCTATCTTTGTCCGAGCTAAAAACGTTCGTTCGGCACAGTTTCGATTTTTCTGTTGTAATGAGTCGCAACGTGACACTTACCGAGATAACGAAGATCGTTAATTATTCATCCGATACGGAGAGAGAGACTACGTCTGGATTCAAATGAGACTGTATCATTTGTCACCTGTAAATAACGTTTATCGTCACACTCTTTCGAGAACGTTAATTTTTCTTGGAATTAGTTGTCCAGCGTTTGCTAGTTCAGAATATCTTGGACATGATTCATGGTACGCGATCTTCTCGAAACAACATCGGAGATTATCACTTTACCGTAATGAAAAGTGGTGATTCTTTAATGTTTATACGAAATTATTTATACTGAGAAAAATATCAGTATCCCGAGATAACAAATACAAGTGAATCTTCTCGAAAGTTAGCATCCATACTTTATCCATCCATATTAAACAAAGTGACTTATGCCACTTTCAAAATAAACGGCTCAATTAGTTGATTGATCTGCCGTTGTTCCCGAAGCTATTGTATTTAATAAAATCGCGTTCCGTACCGGT